CACCTCCTTTAGTAACTCACCATGAAGAAAAACATTCTTCACATCGAGTTGGAGTAATCTCTACCCACCATTCACAATAAAAAAAACCAGTGCCCTCACTGTGCTCATCTCACTACAGCTGCAAGTCTCGTCATAATCAATGTCATATGTCTGATAGTCTCATTTCGCCACCAATCGTGTCTTGTAACGCTCCACTTTCCCTTTTGATTTTTGTTTTACCATGAAAATCCAATGGCCCTTTCCCGCATGTGATGGTACTATCTCCCACTTCTTATTCTTATCGAGAGCACCAAGTTTCTCCAACATGACAGTCTTCCACTTTGAAATTTTTTTAGCTACCTACCAAGACTTGGGTATAGAAATAGTGTCTAAAGGTGCAATGAATGCTTCATATACACATTACATGTTAGAAAATGAGACAAACCGAGCAAATGTCATGTGAGAAACAAAAAAATCAGGAAAATAGCCCGCAATGCTGCGAGATCCTCCTTAAAGTCATGGGAGTGAGAGGAGAAGAGAGAGGAATCATATCACCCGGGCAATCAGATTCTGAAGGGGAAGGTGTAGGTGTCTCAGGAGTCGGGGTAGATCGAGACAAGGGACTTGATGACACAAGTGACACGTTAGATACTGTTCCCTCATTCTGCCTCCTCCTTATTGTATACATTCTCATCTCCATTTAAGCTTGAATCCCTCCACCTTTGGATTCATTTTACTCATATTTCGGCTCTTCTACAGTTGACCCTTCCCACTCAACGGGACAAGACATCGTTTCCACATGCACCAATCTCTGACCATCACTACTCTCCCTCTCACGCCTCATACATGCAATATTTGATGAGTCACCGAAAGGAGATGTCACCTCCACGGTATATTAAGGTTCGAACTCTCTAAATGACACATCCATGCTCATAATAGTATTTTCTCTATCAAACTCCAATAAACATATCCCTTTTAGGTGGAAAATAACCCACAAAACACACTTCACAACTCTAGGATATAGTTTCCATATTGATGGTTTGTTGTCCTTCACAAAACATACACTGCTAAAAAACTTCAATGAGAGGATCTCATTATTATCTCTTTTCAACAACTGACAAGGAGTCTTCCAATCCAGCACTCTCAAAAACATTCTATTGATCGATTAAGTTGATGTCGAAACTGCTTGCCCTTACAATTGCTTTGGGACATTCATTGAGATCACATACTCCGTGCTACCTCTAAAAGGTGTCTATTCTTCTTCTTTGCTACTGTGTTTTGTGTCGATGTGTATGAATATGTGGTTTGATACTATATCATTTGGGCTGATAAGTTTTCCCAAATGTCATGTTGGTATACTATGTTTTATTATCAGACCTTAAAAGATCAACTACGACACTATACTGAGGCTGAATCGCCCAGTGAAAGTATTTAAAATAGGTAAACACATCTCTTTTGTTTCTCATTAGATATGGTTGAGTAACACGAGAAAAACAATCAATAGAAGTCACAAAATATTTGTAACCATCCATAGAGGTTGTAGAACAAAGTTCCCATACAACTGAATGCACCAAATCAAAAACATAAGAACTCTTTTTACCATAACTAACAAAAGAGCTCATGGTATACTTACCAAACTCACAAGCATCACACAATTTTTTTTACTTGACTTTTCATATAATAATGAATACAAATGACTCAATTGACTAAACAAAGAGTGTCTTATTCGTATGTGAAGTAGCAACAAAACATCCTCCACAATCCTCTCAGATTCTCCTGCCAAACCATTCTCAACCATTGATGACAGCCTGAGTCCATCCCCTCTCTATCCAAGTACCAGAGTCCACTATGTCATGCGTCAGCCTCAAGCCTTTGGCGAGTCCCCTTCTTTTAAAAGATCAACTTTGGAATATCAAATGAAACAACACATTTTAGTTGGAGTATAAAGACACCAATGAATAAAAAGGTTCACTAGAAAGGGAAGAACACGTAAAATATTAGTAAAGTCATACAATCAGTACACCACACTATACCCTTACCAACCATGTGTTGTGTTCTACCATAAACAGTCTGAATGCTCTATGGAATTGTCAGATGAGTATAGGAAGAGAACTCACTAGTAGCACCTATCACATGTCGAAATGCACTAGAATCTACTATACATTCGGGTGATCTTGTGGTGAATATAGAGACAAGAACATGTGTATCATGAGTACCTTTTGCTGAGTGAACATAACTAGTAATGTTCCCCTTGGATGACAACAAGGTGAAAGCATTCTCAGTCACATTATTTTCCGCTCTCTACTTCCTCTTCAACATCTTAAGTAACTTGTAATCCTAATCTATAAAGACTACCCATATCTTTTTCTTGTTCTTTGATATCATCATATTTGCCTGGTAGTCTCCTCTTCCACCCGTTGGGCCATCACTATTACGGTCACGGCCTCTAAGTTGTTCACGTCCACATGTCTTTCTTTCCTTGGGTGGTTTTGGACAAGCCATACTCAAGTGTCTCACTTCTTCACAGTTGTAGCACTTGTGGGTCTCCCCCTGGGCACCTGTCACACCCGAGCTTGATGCAGCCAAGGCTAATCACGTACTTGGAAATCTGCTTGGCTCAAAGTGCAGTCTCATGCGACTCTTCTCCTGTATCACCAATGTAATTATTCCTCAGCCTTCGTATAGAACCAAATTTCTCTCCTTCACGACTACTTTCATTTAGCAACAATGACAAGGTCATGACATACAGAAATCTTTAAAACCCTCTGGTTGTTTCACCGCAAGAATGTCACTCGAGCTTCTCTTTTCACGCAAGCACTACTCACGTCTTCTGTTCATGAACATCTGTCGCTCCTCCATGCCTCACACTGGATTCCTCTCTACAATCAACACTGTCATCTCTTCCCTACACCACACGAGTTTTATCCCGCTTCACCGACCTCGATCTTGACTAGCAAGGAAGGCAACGATTGAATCCCAATGCACAAAAACTATTGCCTATACGACAAGTTGATGCTACGACCATCGCCTGCAACATTCATGGATGTCTGTTGTCTCTCTAGCAATCGACTACGCCCCTTGTAGCACATTATCACTGATGAAAAAATTCATTACAACCAGACTACAACAATTATTATTGAAACACTGTTGCACATTTATAACGATCACCTTTGTAGCTCCATATTCCCAAAATCAGGAGACAAGTGGACATGTATAATCACCATTCATTGTGCATTGTTACAATTGGGCTAGACCCCGTGATTTTTTCATTTTTTCATGGTTTTCCGCAAAAAAAAAATTAAGGAGTCTCCTCCTACTTACTACTTTTTAACTATGTGTTTGTTGGATTTTTTTGTAAAGCTACAACGCTAAATTTATGACTCAACCGCGGGGACCTTTCGGCATGCATCAATTTTCAAGATTTAGAATTTTAAAATAAGTAGAATAAGAGCCACAATAAAGAGAAGTGTAAATCATTTAAATCCTACTTCCCCTAAAACTTAGTAAATCAAGGATTTAGCACAAAACAGTGGAAAAGTTGGACTTAATAATAAAATAGGATAGGATTCATGCGGCATGATTGAATCTAGGCTTATTTTCGCGACCCAAAACAATTAGATATCTTTAACTATAAAATTGTTAACCACTTTAACAGTAGTCATAGTTTTAACCCCAACATTTAAAAAAAAAATGTAGCAACAAAAGCTTAAAAAGCTCACCAACTTCCTTAGTTAGCGCGGTTAAGGAGGAGCAGCTAGGGCCGCCGGTGAGCCATATTAGCAATGGATCCACCTTCGGGCTCTTCTCCGATTCTACGAAATAGTAGAAAATTTGTGCGCCGCGAACCTCATCGACTGTTACATACCTTCATAGACACATACATGTAACATTTATGAATAAAATCTAACCGCCGATCAACTTCACTATTACCTATGCACATTAATTGGTGTTTCTATATGAGCGGAAACAAAAATTTAGAGCAGGAAAAGTATGAAAAATTGAGAACACGTAAAAGCGCTCACCCTGTTTCCAATTAGAAAGGGAGTCTGCCTTCAAATCCCGGAAGATGAGTAACGATATTGTTGGCTGATTCGAGAAAGCCGGGCCATATGAGCAGAATGCATAACAGAAGAAGAAGCTTTAGATGAGTTCTGGACATTGCTATTTTGTTGGATGAGATAGGAGGAGACAGGGGAGGAAGGAACATAGGCTTAAAATGCATCCGAGTGCCTCGGATTGTTCCAGCGGCCACGTGTTCGATCCATAACCCACGTGATATTTACTTTATTGAGAAAATAAATATTAAAAAAATATGAATTCTTATCTCTTCTAAACTTTTTTATTTTTTAATTAACATGCATTATGAAAAGCATGTACTAATATCTCCTCTCTTCGTATTGACCGGCCGGGCCTGGCAGCGCTAATAATTTCTCATTTATTTTATAATTTGACCATTATCAATTCATATTTAAAATCTTATTTATCTCATTCAGCTGTATTTTTAATTAAATCATTTTGCTTAAATTGTGTACTCCTGGAGGCTGAAGTATGGCAGCCTGTGGGTCTGTTTGGGCGCTGCCACTGTTCTTAATTCAGATCGGTGGAAAATCGTAGGATTCAATGGCACCATTTAAAAAAAGTTATAAAAATGAAGTTTATCCAAACAAAATAAAACTGTAATAATGCCACCACCACACCGCCGTCCTAAACAGATCAGTGTGACCTTTGCAATGGGGAAGGTACTTGATAAAAAAAATGAACTGCCCCTGACATTAAAAATATATGTATGGCTATGGCTAGTTTTCATGCAGGTTTGAGTTTTAGAACCTGCAAAAGCAAACACAAATAGAATAGGCTTTACTTGTCATGCTAACAAAATGTGTGGGACTAAATTGACAATCCCATTTTATCGTCATCTCTATCACGCTATGAAAAATGCTAAAAAAATACATACAAGCAAGCACTTCAGCAATTTTGTGAGATACCTTCGTACAAGATCGAGCAAGGCAAATTAGCCCAATTTAATACAAGGGGCTGAGAAAAATCGGAGGAAGAGAACTTCTTTGCTGCATTGCAACAAAACACATGAGAACTTTTTTTGCAGGCTTTCTACAGCACGTTGGAACACATGCACATGAACTTAATAGACAAATTTTTCCTACTACATCAAAATAACGCACACGAGGTTTTAATGTATTTGATGATTTATACTTTTGCAATGAGGGAAAAAGACGAGGGACGACAATGGTGACAAACCTGCAAAAATTTTTAGACAATGTTATAAAGAATATTCTAGAGCATTTTAGTTGTATTATGGATGTAATGTAAATAAAAGGCTAATAATTTTAAAAATAAGCATTTAGTTGGATGTAACTTGAACGCAGTATAAAGATTTGGTAAATTTGAAAGCACTCCTTTAGCTTAAATTTGGCACATTTGATCGATTTTTAATACACCAAGGAAAGAAAGTATGTATAAAATTTGAGGAAATATATATAACTATTGGTATAAAAGATGTTAAAATAAATCTATTAAAAATAGTTAATATTTCGTTGCGGCAAGTGCGGCTTAAATTGTTTAATTAACAATACAAGTTTATTAATATCATAATTATAAGAAGGTAGAGGCCTAAGCAAACTATTAATAAAACATAAACTGATTGACATAATAATTCTTATTTCTTTTTTATTGGCTTGATCTTCCTAGGAGATCTCAATATTTCCATTGATTTGAAGGTTGACAGCCCTAATTGCACGTAACTTTGTAGAGACTTCTCTCATGGATGGCCTTTCCTCTGGTAATGTAGCTGAGCAAGAGAGACCAACTTCTGCTAAGGAAAGCAAGCAATTGTTGATGTTTTGGCAACTCCATTTGTTAGTTTGTCTTTCCTCTTCAGTAAACATTTTAAGATCTATGATGTTGTTGATTCTATGAGGAAATACCATTCTGACATAGTTATACAGATTCAAGTTGTAGTTAAAAATATGATCAGTAGGCCTTCTTCTGGTAAGCATCTCTAGTAGTATTATTCCAAAACTATAAACATCTGTAGAGGTTGTTGGGCGAGCTGCTTCACCATTTTCTACAAATAAAATGAGAACAAATTTTTATAAATAAATACTAGTTTAAAAGGCCATTAAATATCAAAAAATTATGACAAGATTATTTATATCATAAAGAAGAGAAATCATCACATCACCATGGGCAACATAGCCAATAGTTCCTTTGACTTCATTTTTATCAGAGCAACTTGAAGACACATACTCATAGAATGATAAAGAATTTGAAAAAGTCCAAAATCTCCTACATGCGCAATCATGTCATTATCAAGTAGGATGTTGCTTGGCTTTATATCACAGTGAATGATTGATGGTTCACAACTATAATGAAGATATTCCAAAGCATTTGCAACATCGATGACAATGTTTAATCTTTTTTCCATAGAAAGAACGATATTTTCATTATTCTCATATTCTTGGTGGAGCCATACGTCTAGATTCCCCTTTGGCATGAATTCAAATATCAAAGCCTTAAAATCTCTACCTTGGTGATCAATGGTGGAGCATGAAGTGAGAACCCTTACAAGATTACGATGTCGTATGCTTCGTAATGCATCACATTCATTTGTGAAACTTTTAACAGCTCCATACACCTCTAGTTTGAAAACTTTAATAGCCACAACAACTTGATAATCTCTGAGGATAGCCTTATAAACAAAGCCATATCTTCCATATCCAACGAGATGTGAAGTGGAGAAGCCATTTGTAGCCTTGGCTAATTTTGCATAGGAAATTTTTGGAAATTGAGTGCTTAAGGATGCATCTAACAAATTTCTTCTCCGGCCCCCTTGCTCTTTTTTTTTTTTTTTGTAAAATATAACACAATAAAAGAACCAATAATATAATTAGTATGCTAGGAATTGGGACCAAAATTTTAATTAAATAATGATTTCTTCTTTTTGTTGGTGATGATCCGCTAACACATTTCGACAAATGAAGTTTTGGATTTCGTCCACATAATTTTTCATTTCCAATAAGGGAGATTGCAGAGCAATTTGCAAAGACGCCTTCGTTTGGTGCCTCTCCTTCAAGTTTATTAAATGATAGATTCAAGTGCTTAAGGGAGAATATTTTGTAGAGACTTGGGAATAACCCCTGATAAATTATTATGTGAAAGTTCTAGTATTCAAGGCCCTTCATATTGCCTAAGGACCTAGGAATAGAGTCATTAAAGAAGTTATAGTCCATATATAATTTAGATAATATTTGACAATTTTCAAGAGCTTCTGGCAAATTTCCAGTTAATTTATTATTAGAAAAATCAATTATTATGAGATTTTCTAACTGACCAACTTCTGATGGTATAGTTTCAGTTAAAGAATTAAAAGACAAATCAAGAAAATCTGAAAGGGAGCGCAAGAAAAAAAATTGCCTTAGAATTATGCCAGTTAGATTATTATGGCTCAGAGACAAAGCAGAGAGACTCTGAATATTTTTCAGGCTTGAAGGTATGGAGCACGCTAATTGATTAAAATATAACCACAATTGGTTTAGTTTTGTGAGATTGCCTAAGGAATATGGGATAATCTCTGTAAGATTGTTCCATTGAAGAGTTAATAATTGCAGGCTTTGAAGCTTTCCAATGCCTCGGGTATAGGACCTTCCAAAAAATTTGCCTCCAATCCCAAACCAAATACGTTAGCATACCTGCCAAGTTCGTTAGGGATGCAACCTGAAATATAGTTGAATCCTAATATTATTTGTTGAAGCTCAATGGAGAGGTTCCCAAATGATTTCGGAAGCCTTCCATTGAGGTTATTACTACCAACTCCTAAAACTTGTAAACCGGTGCAATTTGTTAAGGAATCAAGAAATCTCCATTCCTTTGCATCACTTGCTTCAAGCTCATTTTTTTCCATGTTGAGGTATATTAGGCCATGCATTTTTCCGAGATTGGATGGCACCACACCCGTGAAATTATTTACACTGACATCCAAACACACGAGGGTGCTGACATTTTGAAGCACTTGTTCAAGCGAACCAATGAACTGATTACCACCAAATAAAAGACTTCCAAATGAGGAAAAGATTTTGCAATATTGATAGAAATGTCACCAAAGAAGTGATTTGATGGCATGGAAATTTCGCGTAGTGATGATAGGTTGTAGAATGAAGAAGGGATATTACCTGAGAGACCATTACAACCAACATATAACAATTCTAACCTCCGAAGGCTGCCAATTTGTTGCGGGATACCTCCCTCTAGCTGATTATACTGGAGATAGAGGATTTCTAAGAAAGATAGATTGCCAATGGAAGGTGGGATGGTGCCAATAATGTTATTTTTCTGAAGATCGAGGTGGTTGAGCTGTGACATCGGGGGGACAACATCAACATCAGGGATTTTGCCTTTGAGCCGGTTACAACAGAGGCTTAGAACTCGAAACATAGAGTTATTAGTCATGAGAAGGGCAGGAATGTCTCCATGAAATAAGTTAACACTCAGGTTGAGATGTTGCAAACGCGGCAGGTGGGAGAGACTAGGTGGGATCTCACCATAGAGACTGTTGTTGCTAAGATCAATCCTTCAGAGAAAGGTGAGATTGGATATAGAAGAAGGAAGAGGACCTATCAAGCCGGTGGAGCCGAGATCCAAGCCTGTCACTCTGTCCGGATGCTTGCGGCCGCATGTGACCCCTTCCCATGAGCAGAAATGCTTGTTATTGTCGTCCCCCCATGAGTTCAGGATAAAAGTGGCAGCAGAAGAAGAAGAACTATTTTGCTGCTTCAACAGCCCATTCTTGAAAGATATAAGTGCTTTGTAGTCTGTATTGTTATTGCTAATGGAGAAGAGAAGATTGGGATAAAATGATAAGAAGAAGAAGAAGAAGAATAAGGGAATTATGAAGAACCGGACACTTATATTAATAAAAAGAGTTAACTAGTATGGGATGGATCGCAAGCATGAATATGTACAGAGCACAGTAATGGATCATTGACCTTCAAATTCCACAGTCTATTCAACCAATATATTTTTCTGTCAGCAAATATAAGTCTTGCTTTACTTTGGTTGAAAATTTTGTAAGGTCTTTATCAAGTCATCCGCAATAGATAATATCTTCTACACTCTAGAGCACATATTTTGACTGAATAATAATAATAATAATAATAATAATAGTAATATTCTATAGTTTCTTAGAATTTTTTGCCAAACTTGTTCGCATATATATCAATATCATTCAAGTCAGTAAGGTCCTTGTTCATTTTTTCCTTTGCGCATGTTTTCCAAGTCAAGCAATGTTGTTATCTTTAACAAGACTAAGAATATATTTGGCCCAAAATTTTCTCTTAAGAAAGTAAATTTGCTTGCATTTATTTTATATTTATTGATAAGTAATTACATACAGAGCACGAGAATCAATACTATTAACCAAGGTGAATTTTTTTACCTATGAAATTGATGCATTTATGTGTGCAACGATCAAACTTTTGTGAATTTGATAAACATAAAAAAATATGGGTTGGGATTTTATCACTGACCTTTGATATTTGCGTGAGAATTTGAAAAATGAGTGAAAAAGGGTGTTTGAGTTGTGATTATCAATGTTTTTTTTTTTTTTTACTTATTGTAATATATTTTATGTTTACCGATGCCAAGTTTAAATTTTTCATTGTTAAATGATTAATAATCAAAATGTATCTATTGAATTATGATTTGTTTGTGTCTATTGAATTATGATTTGTTTGTGAATCACAACAAATAAATAAAGAATAAATAAGAGTGAGGTGATATATAGAGAGAGAGAGTTATAGTGAATAATAATCAGTCGTGTCTTATTTATAAAATAATTTCTCTATTTATAGAAGAGTACAATAATGATACTACATTTTTCTTCCGTTTTAAAGTGGTTCATATAGGGTATTTTAAGTATTTTATATGAATATAGACTTGTTGTCTGATTATATTCTGGCTCGGCCAACTGATTTTAGTTTGCTTCAAGTCGACGAGACCAACTTGATCCCACAACACGGCACATAGGCGCATGGAGCTCTGTCTCATTGTTCACCAAATCAATCTCCACTTATAACAATCTCTCACTTGAAGACTGGTTTTACTGAGTATCAATCCTCTATACCTACACCTCCATCTGAATCGTTTTCATAGTCATGTGTTGTGGTCACGTATATTTAGGGATGTCAAAACAACTCGTTGTTTGCGAACAGTTCATGTTCGACTTGTTAAGAAGCTTGTATTCGATTTGTTCGCTAAGTTAACTAGCCGAACACGAATAATTTTTTGGGCTCAATACAAAAACGAGTCGAACACGAACAAATATCGGTCATTCTTGTTCCGCTCGTTTTGGCTTTAAATAATTATAATTATATATATATATATATATATATTCAAGGAATGGTCGAAGGCTATTATACGAGCCTCGGTCATCCCTCATGCGCCTAAGAATTCGACTACCACATCCAACACTCAGGGGCAATCGAACCCCAGACCAGATGAGACTTACAAGTGAGAAGCAGATGTCTGATTAACTGTATGTATATATATATATATATATATTAGTATTTTTTTAAATTAAATTGACTACAAAACTACAAAGATTTATAATCAATTAAAACTATTAATTAAAAAATAGACTAAAAATTTATTAATTTATATTTAAATGATGTTTTAATTATGGTTGAGTGACTAGGGTTGTCAAAACGATTCTTTGTTCTCCAATAGCTCGTGTTCAACTCGTTAAGTAAATGAGTCAAACACAAACATAATTTTTTGTTCGAAATATAAATGAGTCGAACACCAACAATAATATTTTTTAACGAGTCCAACAAAAGTTGAGCCTGGGCTCGCTCGTGTTCGGCTCGTTTACACCCCTACGTACTATGGTGTGGCTTACCACGGGTTTCAATCTTCATGAAACCCAACTAAAGTCAAGCATAGCTTCATTTTCTCAATAGTGACCATCTTTGTCAACATATCCGTAGGATTCTCAGCTGTTTGTATATTTTCCAGAAATAACTGCTCATCTTCCAGAAAAGATCGAATAAAACAATACCTAAGTTGAATGTGTTTCGTGATAATGAATAACATCTTTCTTAGTGAGATGAATAGCACTCATATTGTCACTGTAGAGTCTTTCAATTCCCTGCTTGTTTCCAAATCATAGCATCAGTAATAACAACATATTCAGACTCCGTAAAAGAAAGTGCAACAATCTTCTATAACCTGGAAACCCAACCCACTGTTGTGATCCTCAATTTGAAGATATGCTTCGTTGTACTTCTCCTACTATCTGCATCTCCTGTCAGATCTGAATCCACAAATCCTTGAAGATTGATCCCTACACAAAGTTCTATGTTGAATCTTCCCCTCAATACCTAAGAATCCACATTACTGTCTGTCAATAATGCCTGTCTGGATTGCCCATACACATCCTAATCACTCTCATTGCATATGCAATATCCAGTCTGGTACAAGTTATCGCTTACATCAAACATCCAACTACCGTAGCATACGAAGTTCTCCCCATATGTTATTGGTCCGCTTCAGAGTTAGGTGATAGCTCCTTAAATAGTTTGAAGTGATTACTTAAGGGAGTGCTAACTGGTTTCACCTCACTCATGTTGAAAGTCTATAGAATCTTTTCAACATACTTCGTCTGAGAAAATTTCAGTGTTCTTGCTCTATTATCTCTGTTGATTCTCATTTCTAGGATCATTTTGGTTAGAACTAAATCCTTCATCTTGAACTCACTTAATAATTGTTTCTTCAAGTCCCTGATTTTCTCCATATTTGCCCCTGCAATCAGCATGTTATCCACATACAAAAGAAATAAGATATAATAATTACCAAAAATTTTTATGAAGTAATAGTGACGCCTGGCACTTCAAGTATCCATTTTTTGATATAAACATGGCAGACCTCTTGTACCGCTGTCTCGGGGCCTTCTTCAAGCCATATATACTCTTCTTCAATTTGCAGACCAAACATTCTTTGCCTAGAACCTTATAACCTTGTGTTTTCATCAAGTATAGCTCATCCTCCAGATTTCCATGTAAGAAAGTTTTTCTTACATTCATCCGCTCCAGATGTAGATCGTCCTCTGCTACCAAACACAGCACAACCTTGACAGTCATCATCTTCAGCATTAGGAAGAAGATCTTTGTTTAATCCACTTCTTCCATCTGTTAGAAACCCTTCACAACAAGTCTTACCATGTAACGCTTGCTACCAGCTAACTCCTCTTTCATTTTGTAGACCCATTTATTTTGTAGTGTTCTTTTACCATTTGGTAGTACCGTCAAATCTCAAGTGTGATTTGACTCTAATAATTACATTTTATCATCCATGTCTATCTCCTACTCTCTTGAATCTTCAACTTGACTTGCCTCCTTAAAGGACACTGGTTCACCACTATCAGTTAGTAAGAAATTGTGTAAATAAGAAGAATACCTATGTATGAGATGTTTTAATCTGCTAGTTCTTCTAACTTCTATAGAAGGTGGTCGAGGAGTTTCCAGTGCTCCTTTTGGTTGAGCACTTGTTCTTTTTTCTTATTCCCAGTCACCAATATCATCTATCTTCACATATATGGATTTTTAAGAAGTAGCTGATTAAATATCCTGAATTCTAATCTCGTCTTTGTATATCTCCATTTCTTTGAATGTGGCATCCCTGCTCCTGATGAATTTCTGATTCTGATAATTCTGATAATCCCAAAACACTTGTACCCAAACTCATCTGAGTCATATCCAATGAAGGTGCACTTGACAGATTTTGAGTCAAGCTTGCTCCTAGTTCCTGCATCAACATGCGCTTATGCAGAACACGCAAATACTCTTCAGTGATAGACATTTTTTTTCACTACAGGATTCTTTAGGCAAGCCTTCCTCCAAAGGTGTTGAAGGACTATGGTTGATCATAAAAATTACCGTATTTACTGTTTCAACTCAAAACTGTTCTGACAAGCCTGCATGCTCCATGATTGTTCTTTTCATGTGCTCAGCTACACCATTCTGTTGTGTGTGTTCTTAGGATAGTAAACTCATGCCTGACCCCCTCTTTAGCACAGAAATTCTAAAACTTCTGATTACAATACTAGCCCCTATTATCTGATCTTAGACACTTCAACTTCAAGTCCGTCTCAATCTCCATCATAGCCTTCCACTTCTTAAAGTTTTCATATACATCAAAATTTTTGCTTTAAGAAATAAAAACATACCTTTCTCGTGTGGTCATTAATCAACGAAACAAAATAACAAGAATCTCCAATTAACTAAATTGGATTAGGACCTCATACATTAGTATGCACTAACTCCAGTTTCTTTAATTGCATCACTGATCCATTCTTGGAGAAAGAAACTTTTTTATACTTGCCACAAACACAATCTTCATATAAATTTATATCAAGTGATCTCAGACCATGAAACTTATTTTTTAAAACTAGGAACTTCATATATTTCTCGCTCATATGGCAAAGCCTACTATGTCATAGACCTGCATCTACCCTGATTCTAGCCACATCAATGAAATCATTTATTTTATTGATTAGATAAAGGGTACCTTCAATGTTTCCTCTAGCCATCACTAATACCTCCCTGGTCACCTTCCACGAATCACCTTTGAAAGTAATCACAAGTCCTGATTTTTCCAGCTGGCTCACATAAATAATATTTATCCTCAAACTTGGAACATGTCTTACTTAAGTAAGCTTCTAGATTATTCCATTCAGCAACTTGATATCATCATCACCCTTTTCAACTATACTGCAGACCTTGTTATCTCCCAAATAAGCTTTCTCCATATCACTCTGAGTATAGTTTTTAAAATTCCTCTTTTTTAGAGAAAGCATGAAAAGAAGCACATGAATCCACTATTCATGATTCAATACTAACTAGGGATAACACCATGCATTCACTTTGGATTTCACTTGTGGAGACATTAATAGAAAGACTACTTTACTGTCCTCCACCACCAACTTTCCCTGAAGTTTTATAATCATTCTTGAAATGTTCTTTCTCACCGTAGTTCCAATATTCTCTTCTGCTTGACTTGGGTTTTCCTTTCTTGGATCTGTCGTTTCATGTATTCTTGCCCAGATTCATTTATCTGTTATCAACATTCAACGCAAAATCTGAAGACAAACCATTTGTTGTTTTTCTATGAACTCATTCATTCAGTCCTTAAATAATTACTCACCGTTGTTACCAAACCATCATATCTATCGAGCAATAAAGATAGTATCAATAATGCTCTGAACTCATCATCAAACTTGATCCCTATAGAACATAACTGGCTCGTCATAGTATTGAAGCTATTGAGATGCTCTGTCGTTGAACTGCCTTCAACCATATTCATGTTGAATAACTTCTTCATCAGAAAAATATTATTGGAAGTAGAAGATTTTTCATACATCTTAGCTAGTGTCATCAATAGATCCATCATAGTTTTCCCATTCACAATGTTGAATAAAACAGTTGAGGAAAGTCTCAATTTGATCAAATCCAGTGTCATTCAATCCAACACTTCCCATTCTTCTATAGGCATAGACTCAGGCTTCCTTGTGATTCCTTATAGTGGAAAATATATATTTTTTATGATATAACAAATCCTCCACCTGCATCTTCTAGAAAGTGAAGTTCTCCTCATTGAAGTTCTCCACTTTGAATCATGCTTCTTCAGTCATTTGTTCCACTTGAATCGAACTCCGCTCTGATACCAGTTGATAGAAAATCTGCGACGAGTAATTTCCAACTTTATCGAGGCTTAGGATCAATTGGAAACTAAGGGCCCGTTTAGGGCAGCTTATAAGTGTGGGGGCGTTTTTGAAAAAGTTGCGGTATCATTTGGATCGCGTGCTTTGTCCATTTATCTGAAAACGTAGTTACATTTTTACACTAAACGCAAATCGCGGTTTGAACCCCACGATCAACTCACAAGTTGCGTTTCAAGATAAATTGCTTATCCTGAAATGCATAAGCTGTCCCAAACGCACCCTAAACCACACAGCAGAATAACATGATCACATCAATTTGATAAAAATTGGATCAAAAAATTAAAACAGAAGCACAATCAAAGCAACCAGAAAAGCACACGAGAATTTACGTGAAAAACCCGAGAACAGGAAAAAACCACGGAGTCACACCACCAATAATTTTCACTATAAAATTCAGAAGGTTTTATAAAGAACTCACACAATTTTTCTCTCCACACACAAAGAAAACTTACAGGACTCGTTCCACGATCTTTCCTCTTCTAATTGATGCAAAAAATCAAGTTGAATCACCGAAATCCACCTCTTCGACACTCCTCAGCTTCACTAAGATAATTGTCAAAGAATACTGAAGAAAGAAATAACAAATCATAAGTTTTTGTTTCTCGAATTTAGGATTAAAACCAAATCCCGCTTGAAAACCGCCCCTGGCGCATTGGCACCCAAACTTGGCGCTTATGCCCCAAATTCTCTGGAAACAGTCGCCTATATAGGAGCATGTATATGCGCCCAAAAGCGGTGTTGGCTTCTCTGTTCGAGCAACACTAAAGTGGTCACTTAAGCGCCCACAACTCAGTGCATAGGCGTTAGGTGGTTTGTCCAACTGCTCATCAAATTAGTCTACGCTCATAACAAAAGATTTATCATCTTGATGCTCAAATTGTCATAATTGATATTTTTGAATGTTAGTACTTGAAAGGGGATCATATTTTATTTGGTCATCTCTCTAGAAAGAAACTTTCGCCTAGAAAGAAACTTTCGTTCAGATACCAATTAATTTGTTGAAAATAAAAGAATATTATAAAAGGAAGAACATTAGGAAAAGAAGATTGACAACTTAAAAGACTTAGTTATATTTTTTTTTCTTCTTGATACAAAACTCAAACACTCACACATTTTTATACCAGCGACACTCCCATTAGGATTGTGTCAGCACATTTAAATCATATTACTATTATTGACTCTCCAAAATGTTCTTATATATTTCGGTGCAAAAGTCATTAATTATATTTTCTAAAGTTTTCCAAATCACTCCTTTAAAATTTCTCCATAATTCTTTAAAATTGTTTTCACAAAAAGGTCTTTTGAATTTTTGAAACTCTATTCTAGATAATAGGCTCAATTAAATAATATTTTAATATGGGCAAGAAAAAATCAGTTTAATTGTTTCCTTGGCATGCGAAGAACGTACGACTTCTGTTGGGCCACTTAGCAAGCAGATTCGTCTCGGTCAAATCCATAATTGGCTAAACTTATTTTAATATGGATTAGATAGTCTTGCATCATACCGCTCTTTTGGTTTGCTATTGGTTTGTTTTAGTAAATGCTTTCATGCCAGCTACTTAATTCTGACAGTAACTGCAGCAGATATTTTCTTTTAATTTTATTTTATTTTAAATAAATGCCCCATTAATAAAATGTTTTCAATACATCAAAATCTTCTGCTGAGACAGATAATTATATTAAATATTTATAAAAAAATAGTCAAGTTTTTAAATCTTGTGATTGTGAGTTCGAGTCCCATAATTATTCTTTTTGGGAGATATAATATTTGTTCAATCATTCTTTTAAATTATTTAATTTAACAAATAAATGGAATTTTATAAAATTTATTAAATATTATAATTACGATTTAACTTTTTAAGAAAAATTTTAAAACTAATATATAATAAAAAAATAAAATAATTTAACTATATTAATTTTTTATTTAAATTTATATTGAAAGATAAATCAATATTAATGATTGAAATTAAGTTAATTATTCATGCTAATTTGTAGTAAATAATAATTTAAAATATATTTAGCTTTTAAAAATATTAAATAAAAATTTAAATTACACAACTTCTATACCTCGCTTATATATATGTTATCATTTTATTTTTTTAATATATAAAAGTTGTGTAATTTAAATTTAAATCATTCGTCCCCCAACCCTCCAGACGCTCTATTTAGAGTCTAAATGGCAAATAAAAAAGGAATATGGTTCCCTCCTGATGAGATGATCCGGATAGATCTTCTAATCTGGGGACTTTCGATGGAAATTTGAGTGTTTTAATGATGTTGGAATTAAGTGATCTTAGACCTGTTGGAATTGCATGCTCGATTTAACTATAAGTTTGTCAGAATTAGAATCTGTTTGAAATTTTAATTATGCATAAAAAACCTCAAATAATTTGAGGTTGATTTGATTCAGATTTGACCAATTTTGATATTGTTTGATCTATCTCATCAAGCCGATAAGTTTGATTGTAAGTTTGTTGAAGTCAGAATTTAAGATGACTTTGAATCGAAACTTGAATATTTCTTCCTCAAAAATTATCTAAAAATTTATGTCAAATCTCGAAGATATTAATGGCGTTTCATTTCTATAACAATATGCATCATTTCCTTGATTCGAGGAAGAAAAGAAAGTACTACATGGATGATTTAGAGAGGGGCGGTCCGATCAAAGAGCCGATTTTGACAGGTTTTTTAATGAGTAGTTTATCAGTTTTTGACAGGTTTTTAAAATATTAAGAGAGTATAAATGACTTGTAATCACGTGAAGACAGAAGCGGGGGAAAATATTCGGCCAAGGCATGCAACGCATACAGGTTATAGTATGGTCGAAGGGGTTATAAAATACTAGGCTTCCTCACGAGTCATTCTCTTGAAACAAGTGTCGTAAAAATGATGTCACATAAAGGAGAGATTATTGCGTGCGGACACCGCATGCATCTCTGCATGCGGTGTTCGATCCTGGCCGTAGATCACGGTGATCTACGGTCAGGATTATTTCCGTTTTTAAAAAAAATTAATAAAAAATTTTAGGTGGGGCCCACCGAAATACATCAGGACCGTGCGGACGCCGATCCGCATGGAATAATTTTTCCACATAAAGGGTGTCAAATATTACGTGCGATCATCTATAGGTCGGAGACTAATAGATTTGAGGAAATTGAACGACCATACGGTGGCATGATCGAATCTGATCTGTTATCCGTACATATGAAAGCCATACGTAATATTTTATCCACATAAAAACCTTCTCCCACATCAAAAGGATAAAATGATAGAATTCCTATATAAATCTTAAAACTGAATATATATATATATATATATAAAAGAATGATCGGAGACTATTATATAAGCCCCCAATCATACTCATGTCCCATGGCTCGGCTATTACTTAATATTTTTATATATAACAATTTATATTTTACATTTTTGATATTGAAGTAAGTCAAATACTATCACGTGTTTTAACAAATTACCCAGTAAGTCAGAGGACTCAGCATCATTTATCAGTCTCTTCAAAAATAGGTTTTTCTAGCTTATCAAATATCATACACCAAAGACCTATAAAGCTGCATGCAAACTACAAGAAGCCCCTGATTCTAATTCAATCATCAATCCTAATGTCGTTTACTATGGGGTTTAGATCAAAGGGGACCAAGCTCACGTAATTTAATTTGCGCACACACTTGCATTGAAACTTTTCTTTAAACCAAATGCTTGTATGCTAAACTTAATTTAAAATTTTAAAAATTCTTAAATCCAAACTCTTATTAGCATAAATTTCGATGCAATAAGACATGAGTTTCGGCTTCAATCCTATGATTCCTTTGCTTCCATATATAACTCACCCTTTGAAGATTAAGTGTAGAAAATGGATAGCATAAGATCTCCATTCAAGGGGATCATCAAGGATGTCAAAGGTAGAGCAGCATGTTACAAACAAGACTGGATAAGGGGTTTCCATTCTGGATTCAGGTTAAAAAGTTGCATACCTAATACATTTATGAATTAGCTATTTCTGATTCTCTTTCTGTTCTGAACAATTTAACTTAATGTTTATTTATTTCAGAATTTTGGCTCCTACAACATACATCTTTTTTGCTTCTGCTCTTCCAGTCATTGCTTTTGGGGAGCAGCTCAGCAAGGATACAGGTAGATGCTTGGTATAGTTAAATTGAAATGAGAATAGAAGATTAGAGCTGCATTTTTATTTATTGTTATGCATATTTTTTGTGCAGATGGGGTGTTGAGCACAGTGGAAACACTAGCTTCAACCGCTATCTGTGGAATTATACATTCCATTATTGGGGGACAACCTATGCTAATTGTTGGTGTTGCTGAGCCTACCGTGATAATGTACACATATCTATATAAATTTGCAAGTAGGCGTGTCGATCTGGGCCCTCACTTGTTTTTGGCTTGGAGTGGATGGTAATACATTCTAAGAGTTGCAAACAGTTATTTTTTATCTTTTCTTTCTTTTGCTTCCCAAAAGTTTAATTTCTCTACGATCTAGGATTTGCATTTGGACTTCATGTATGCTATTTATTCTTGCACTCTTGAATGCCTCTGCAATAATAACAAGATTTACAAAGATTGCTGGTGAACTTTTTGGGACGCTGATTGCAGTTTTTTTCATTCAACAAGCAATTAAGGTGCTTTGCCAATCTCTGCTCAGTACTTCATAAAGAAGATTTGATTTAATTATGCTCACAAATCATGAAGTAAAAAATTTAGCGCTAAATATATAATGCAGGGATTGGTTAGTGAGTTTAATGTACCCAAAGGCGAAGATTCAGGACTACCTTGGTACAAGTTTGAATGGTTATATGTGAACGGATTACTGGGTATAATTTTTGCCTTTGGTCTCCTGTATACTTGTCTAAAAAGCAGAGGAGCTAGAACATGGTGTTACGGCACTGGATTGTAAAACTTCTTCTCATATTAGGCATTTAATTTATGCACAAGCTTTTTGATATACAGCTTAACGTGAAGTGTCTCTACAGGTTGGTTAAGAAGCTTCATTGCTGACTACGGAATACCGTTGATGGTAGTTGTATGGAGTGGAATGTCGTATACTGTTCCAAGCAAAGTGCCTTCTGGAGTTCCAAGGAGGTTATTCAGCCCACTTCCGTGGGAATCCAAATCGCTGCACCATTGGACAGTTGCAGAGGTACACAAGCCTAGTCTACAGTAATATATAACAGTACAGACATGCTCTACAAAGAAAAATAATATTTTGAGGTCAACGAAGCTAGCTTGTATAACTGCAGGATTTGTTCTCGGTGCCCCCGGTTTACATCGCTGGTGCGCTTGTTCCTGCTCTAATGGTCACGGGCCTCTACTTTTTTTACCATAGCGTCGCTTCTCAAATGGCGCAACAGAAAGAATACAATCTTAAGAACCCCTCTGCCTACCATTACGATATTCTCATCCTCGGATTTATGGTATATATATCTACTAAAATTTTCTCTTGTTATTTATGAATGTATGATTGAATTGAGTAGAAAGTACTATTTTCAGGTTTTGATCTGTGGATTTCTTGGGATCCCTCCTTCCAATGGAGTTCTCCCACAGTCTCCAATGCACACGAAGAGCCTAGCTGTTCTGAAGAGGCAGGTGTGATAACCACTCCAGTGTTGGCTGCTAGTTTTACATGATGCGGTGTTTTGATTATGTTCCTGAAATAACGGAATCCGATGTTTACAGTTGATTCGGAAGAAGTTGGTTAGAAGTGCCAAGGAAAGCATAAGGCAGCAAGCCACCAATTTGGAGATCTATGGCATAATGCATGAGGTTTTCTTAGATATGGACCATGGACATACTGTAAGTACTTTATAAGCATAAACAGATTTCCAAACAATTTTACATGAAAAAAGCTACTCCTTGTTGAAAGTCCAATTGTGTGAACTTAGAGGCCCTAGCAACTCATGCCTCTCGACAAACGCCTAACCATCCAATACTAATTGCTTATCTTGCATACACTCTCCCTTGTGTGTGACATAAATTTTATCCACTAATCACCTATTTGGATCCGATTTTATTGACCTTCTATACATAATATTCACTAGCTACCAATGTAAAATTCAATTTGTAGTTGGCATTGTCTAATCATCTTATGATTATCACTTAAGTATGTAAATTTGTCATAATTTTTTGTCTTTTTTACCCTGTAATATTTATTTGTTAGCATCTTGTACTTCTGTATAGATAAACTAATTATTATACCTAAATAATAGCCACAAATTAAGTTTTCAGATGAACATCCACCCATCTTGTTCAGATTTCATTAGATTCTGAGTTCTTTTGAATAAGTCGCGTTTTCCAATTTTTCAATTTTAGAGGGTGATGCATGTTATTCCTTTTCCTGACTTTATAATGGAATAATTGATAGAATGCTATGGAAGCTAGAACAAAGTTTACCATCACAACGCTCCCTATCTCATCACATATAGCTTTATGTACTGAAATTTATCTCTTACAGGAAAACTCAATAACTGAAGATCTGAAGGACTTAACAGATGCTGTTTTGGGAATTAGAACAGGTGAAGCATCATCAAAAGCTCAATTTGATCCCGAGAAACATATAGATCCTCACTTACCTGTTCGAGTCAATGAGCAGAGGTTAACTAATCTTTTTCAGTCGATCCTAGTCGGTTCCTGTCTTGGAGCTATGCCCATTATCAGGAAGACACCGACTTCGGTTTTGTGGGGTTATTTCTCTTACATGGCCATCGACAGCCTTCCTGGGAATCAATTTTGGGAAAGGCTGCTACTTTTGTGCATTGCTCCAAGCAGGCGTTACAAGTAAGATGTTCAGCCCAATAGATAATTTCATTGTTGTTGGTCCTTTTTTTCTTGTCTTAAATATTTTATTGTTGGGGTGAAAATTCTTTCCTGATATTGTCATATTATTTTTGCAGAGTTTTGGAGGGCGTTCATGCATCCTTTGTGGAGTCTGTACCCTTCAAACAAATTGTTGGTTTCACAATTTTCCAGCTTGTATATCTTCTCCTATGTTTTGGTGTCACATGGATTCCTATAGTTGGGATTCTTTTCCCTTTGTTGTTTTTCATTCTAATTTGCATCAGGCAATATGTCTTCCCTAAGTTTGTCCTTCCAAATTATTTGAGGGAACTTGATGCTGCTGAATATGAAGAAATCAAAGGAGCCCCTAAGGGACAATGTAGCTTCTCAATTGAGGTAAATAGTAGCCTAAACACTCACAAAAAACACCTGAAAATAGTTCCATCTCATCTTAACATTTTCTTGGGGCATTTACATACATACCACTAAATTCCTATGCATTTGCACGTATAGCACCTCAACTTTACTAGTTACATTTATACCATATCACATCAAAAATAACACTGTTAATTTTAAAAGGTAAAATACACCCTTTCAAGCATGGGTAAGGTGGCATAGCCGTTAGATATGTCAATACATAAGAATTGAGTGGTATTCATGTAAATCCTCCTTGTTTCAATTTTGATTATCTCATGAAAATGTCTGAAAGTTGTAGCACGTTCTGCAGATGCAGGATGCTAAGAAATGTGGCGACAGTAGTAATGGGGATTTATCTGATGCTGAAATATTGGATGAGCTTACTACCAGCAGAGGAGAGCTTAAGCACAGAACTGCATTATCCTTCAGTCTGGAGAGAATCGTTCAGGTCAAAAAACTACATTTCTTCTAATCTGGCCACAGATTTCATCTAGTAATTATGCTTGGATTTAAGCTTGATTGTTGATTTGGTTACTCCAATAATATTTTTAAATAAATTCTGGTATGCATCTACTTGATGTAAGTTGGTTTATTAATCAGTTTTTTATAATTTTTGCAGGTCTATCCTGAAGGGATCTAGGGAGAAGAAATACAACTATAAAGATAATCCAGGAAACCATAAATAGTAGATGAGTAGATATGAAAGGGAACTTCAAAACCATTCCTTTTATTTGTTTTAGTTAAAAAGAATAAATGCAGAGTCAATATGTAGGCCTCAATGGCACCCCTGCACTTACTGAAATTGAATGAACGAATGAATAAATGCACCAGATTTGATTATATCTTGTATGCTTTACGGGTTTTTTTTTTTTTTTTTTCCTTTTGCCAATCTTCTTAAGTCTTGATCCTCAATGCATCTAATAATAACTTTATTTGTGACTCCTCCCCATTTGGATTCAGGCAATTCTTAATTGCTTCTTACAGATCCCAATCTTAGTTTCTATTGTCTCTATCCTAATATTTTATCATATCAACTTGTCTTGCTAGTTTTCTTATTTTGGTCTATTTGACCTTTTGGCATCAAATGTGGAAGAATCATATTATAACCATATATCATTGCCATTAAAAGTACAAAATAATTATTACTTATGACTTTTAATTGCCAATATCTTCGCAAAAAATTGGGCCTCGTCGATGTCTCAAATGCTCATATTTAAATATTTTATAACGGTAGCAAATGTGGGCTCCAAAAATTCCGAGCCCTCCCCAATAACTCTTTGCATTTATTTTTTATTTTTGTTTTGAGAGAGAGCTTTGGAAGCTCAAAATTTCAAACGGCAAATTGGATTATAATTAAGACACTACCCAGAGATTTCGCCCTTACTTTGTGAGGATTTTTTAATCTAGTGTTCACGATTTCCCATAGGTGCAAGCCCCTATGGTTAATTACCCCTCTCAATAGCGGAAGTGCATTTTTTATTAAGGCTACTTATTAAAAATTGGATATTTAACATATAATAGCAGTAGACTTAGGATTTAAGTTATGAAATTTATCACTTGAAGCTTAAAACGGATGGTGGGGTAATGAAGACGAAAACCGATCAAGATCCCACAGTTTTGACTTTCTGGGTCATCGTGATCCATAATCAACTTGTTCAGAGGAGATAATCAACCCAACTTGACAGAAGAATCCTTATTAATAATTATGGGTTGCATAATCCAAGAGATTCTTATAGATCTTGAGTGCATGTTTAATTAATGGGACAAATTTAAGTCTATTTCGCTAACATAAGACTTTATACCAATCAATTATAAAAAACATACGAGTTGCGTCCGTGGTCATAATATAATGGTGTGATTAGGTAAAAATCAACCGGCTAGAGGGCTCTAGTTGTAATTGGTATTTTGTTGTGTCATTAGACGACAAAACCACACAAATAGAGGACTCGGTTCACGTCCATACCAACATGTGATTACTTTGATTGTGAATATAGGGATACACTTAATATGACATTAGCTCTTTGTGAACTGAAGATAGTCAGAAATTTATCTCCCTCAACAAACTGTTGTGAATGGTGGATAGATTTTTGCTTTTGGCCTTTAAGTGATTCTATTTTAGCTCGAATTTTAGTTGATTACGTTAAAAATTTTGATTTAAAATATTGAACCCTCTGGTTGAAATATTACATCAACTCGGTTATCATTAGAGATTTATGTTTTTAAAATTTTTATATTTGAAGGGACAGTTAATTTCATCTTTTTAAGGTATAAATCATGTCAACTTATGTCTTTATAAGGAGAAGAATCGAGCTACATGATTTAAACATATAAATTCTTATTTTAGGATTTAGAAGTTTATTTCATAATTACTTGACTCATCAGCTCCAATTCTTGCGATAATGAGGATCGGACTAGTTGGGCGGAACTTACAACCCTATTTTGTAGACAAGACAATCCGATTAAACCGCACAACATTCTCGAACCTAGTATTTGAGCATTTTATACATTGGTTGGAGTACATGCAAGCTTTTAAATTTAGCATGTTTGAGCACTTTCTGGAGTTGTATATGTCTTGAGTAATTTTCGATATTTTAAAATATGAATTTGAGAGAGTTTATTTCAAAAATTTGAAATCATTTGAATTTTGAGACATTCATAGAGATTATTATGATCTTGAATTTATATAACTTCACTTGGAGCTTAAAAAGAATCACCTTTTGTTCACTAGCAGACACATTATGAGTCCGGTGGCGAATTTGACGTATTAGGTTTTAATTTTTAGAATTAAAGATGACATTCATGTATCAAGCTTAGGCCCAATTTATGATATTACACATTTAAGTCAAGCTCAACCCTAAAATTATAGAATTTGGAATTCAATTTAAGTTTAACCCTCCCAATTTATGATATCTTACATTCTTGCCAAGCTTACAAACTTAGCCTCTCAATTTATGATATTTCGTATTTTACTCAAGCTTAAAAGATATAATAGTTTAAATTCTAAAATGTTGACAAGTCCAAGAAAATCAAAAATTTCGGCTTTCACTCGGCGTCAACCCACCCCTGTTAGGGGGAACGAGAGAATGTCAACCATCCCAACTATCTCAAAAGAGTCACCGGTCAGTGTCATGAGATGTTGCGGCTAGGGAGTAAAACAACAGACCTTCTGTATGCCTGCAGAGAAAGTCAAATTACAAATAAACATTCCTCTAACATACTTTACTTTTCCCAAACAGTACTTAATTCCCACGGATGGTACTCGCTTTTCCAACATACATGTATTTTAAAACTCCAATTTTTTTAAAAAAATAATTCTCCATAAGAGTTTGTGATTTTCCAGCCTGACAAGTACTTTGCTCTCTTTAAATGGAGGTTTACGAAAAATTTCTCATTACCCCAAAGTTCTACATGATACGTCTTCAACAAATTTTCATCATCCAACACGAATCTCAAGGCATGACAAGAATCTCAATGCAATCTTTTGAGCAAGAAATATTCAAATTTCGCTTAAGGGTCACCCAAAGCTCCAATTTCAACAAACTTATAGTCAAACTAACATGCTTGACAAGACATACCCATTGATGTTAAAGTCGGTCTAATCTGAGTTAAATAAAGCCTTCATAAAGATATTAACCACTTTTGAAAACTTTATGGACATATTTGAAATGTTAAACAGATGTTGAATCAGAAAGCTTATTGTCACACTCTACCAACTTCAAAGAAATTAGCAAGAGAACCATGGGGTGGAAGATTTTAGAAAAGATCAGACAGAGGAGAGCAGTTCAAGTAACTCTAGAATACTCCGCCACATTCTAGAGAATGTTAGAAGGAAAAGCTTCAAGGTTTACTCAAAAAAAACCTAGAAAGGTCTAGAGCTATGCATGTATTTAAGAGAAAAGTGCAAAACTATCTAGAAACTAGACTATTCTAATGTAGTCTAGAAGTCTCCGTTGGATTTAGAATGAACTATAAATAGGAATCACTCCCCTCGTTTGAAATCATACAAGGTTCCTAAGTATTCAAGTTTTCTTTATTCTTTTTCCAAGAGAATTTTGTGATTGCAAGTCCAAACGTTATGAGATTTAAGCTGATTTAGTGTCAAGGAAGTGCGTTGAAGCCGCACGGATGACTTGAGATAAGTTAGTTCGTGATAGTTGGTATCGGAGCCTCGATTCGAATGTATGACAAAGAGCATTAGAGAACATATAATGGATTCTAAAGCCACTATTGTGGAATCATCTCAATAAGAGCAAGGTTTTTAGGAGCAACGAGATCCAGCTGCATCCAAATCACTTGAGAGGTCCAAGGAGATCATGCACGGTTTTGATTCCCGACTTGCTCTGGTGGAGGAGGCAATGAACGACATGGAGGCCCAGATAAAAGATCTTAGCTGAAAGGTTAATGAGGAGGATATCACAATCCATCCGACAATCAAAGACATGATGCTCCAATCGGAGGAGTCCTTAAAGAACCAAATTGATAAGGTGTCACAGGACTTGATGGGAGAACTTGAGAAGGTACGAAGAGCCCATGAAGATAAGATGAGTGACGTACATGCTAGCTTGGACATAACAAATTTATTTTAAATTAGAGTTGTTTTTAATTAAAGATTAATTTAAAATGTATAAAGCCGGGACATAACACTATAAAAGGTCACTTGCTTGTTTTTTTAAGTTTACTATAAAAATGTTCTAAATTGATAATATATATGTATATATATATATATATATATATATATATATATATA